TGTTGGGAAAGTGTGAAGGCAAGAGGAGGAGGGGACGACAGAGAACGAGATGATTGGACACTGTCATTAAAGCTACCAACATGAATTTGGCCCAACTCCAGGAGGCAGTGGAAGACAGGTGGGCCTGGCGTGCTCTGGTCGCAATGACACCACCCTCCTTCCTGTTAAGCTGAGCAGAACCAGGGGCAGGGCTGTGTGCTCAACTTAATGAAAATTTAATGGATACTATGGACTGTCAGAAGGACAAATATTTGGGTTTCTGGATCAAATCAAGCCTGAACTCTCAGCAAAAGTTAAAGTTAAAATGAAGCTATCATAGTTAGGGAACGATCAAGCCTGAACTCTCAGCAAAAGTTAAAATGGCTGAAATGAAGCTATCATAGTTAGGGAACATCATGACACATTAAGACTCCCTGGCAAAGATAATAATGATAGGCAAAGTAGATGGCAGTAGGAAATGAGGAAGAACTACCATGTGATGGGTTGACCCAACAAAGGAAGCCACATCCTTTTGCTTGCAGGACCTGATCAGGGCTGTTAATTATTATAGGATCTTTGGGGGTTTTCATTCATTCATAGAGTCATCATAAGTCAGAGATGACTTGATAACCCATAACAACAACAATGCTGCCAACTGTTCGTCGTTCAGACTGCTTCCTTATGAAACAAAAGTGTCTGCTTAAGGACCTTCTCTAATACAATAAAATAGTTGTTCATCACAGCTAGGGGACAACAACTAACACAATAAGGATATAAAATTCAGGTCAGCAATTCTGACACCTGAATATGTCCCTAAGAGCCCCAAATAAATTTATAGACCTCTAGGGAAAATCAGAAGCCTGTGTTCATCACAGCTGGCATTTATCTCGATTAAGAGTCAGCTCCAGGATGAAACCAGACAATAATTGACAATAAAGATGGGCACAAAGTGTCAGTTCAGCAGTTCAGGTCAGTCTGTCCTTCAGACAAGCAGAAGTTCAGCAATTCCCAGGCCCATCTCCTCAGGCATGTGCCCACTCAGAGGCAGCACCCCAGCTTCCCTTCCCTGCCTCCTTCAGGCAGCATCAGCCAGTCTAATTCTACAAGCTTTATTTATCTACATTGTTCTATATTCCATATAAACAAAAATATTTCACAGTTGTAACTGGATTTTGTAACATCCAAAAATCTTAGATCTATGAACAAATTGTAGACACAAATACGTAAACAGAAATCCACCCAAAATATAGGAACATATCTTTACAATGTAAAAAAGAATTATGAGAACATTTCACAAATGCAGGGTTTTATAGCCTAAAAGCTGGGAATACATTTCTTAAAATATTACAGTAGTTAAAAATAAGACTATATAAAGTAAAAAGCATTTATTTAAGCATATTACTAGACACACCTAAAAAAGTATTCTCAGTGCTTACCCAAACAAGCCAGTTTGAATCTATGGAGAAATTCATGATGATTGTTGTGCTCTCTGGTACCCACAGTGGAGTTGTGATTCTAAGATTAATGCCAAATGTGTGAGTGTGAGTGTGTGTGTGTCTTACCTCCCTATATTTATAATTCTGTCAGTTGTCCACACCTCCTCCCAATCTGTAAATAATCTCTTTTCCAGGGACCTGAAGATTCAGGGGTCGAGATCCAAGATTTTTTTTTCCCTTGGGATCTTAACTGCTGTTGCACTTACTCTTACTTCAGAGTTTTGCAACTTATTATCTGGCAAGCTGCTACTATGATCATAATGTTATTGTTATGACTAAATTTTTCTCAAGCCCTAGAGGAATAAGGTTCTATAGCATAAAGCATTTAAATATAACAATCCCAAAAAGCCAGAATATTGTAATTATAGAGAGTGCAAACCATAAGACCTGAAAACATCCCCTCTGTACTTACAAATTGTGTCATAAACATGTTTAACTGCCAAGAACATTATTATTCAGTGACCTTGCTCAGCTGGAGAGCTGGCTAATTATTTTGAAATGGCTATGGTAAACTATTGTTGAAGCCTCAACTTTAAAAGCATTTTCATTTTCAGGGCTACTTTTCCTATATCTCTCTTAATCATTTCAACACTCTATACACATAAAATTTCAAACTTTGAGATAAGGTAAGGATTCCCTGGGGCATAGTCATAATGTCTAAAATCCAGTAGTAATTCACAACTAGAAATAGAGCCTATTTGAATCAGTGACACTTATGGAAGAGTGGACTCATCAAATCACCACTGATTCAATGGCTCTACTTACTGTGCTAAGCAACAGGATTCCAGATATTATGGACATGGCTGTAAATAATGAGAGCCAAGAAAGTTTAAAAAATCAAACTGATGCATTAGATGTGATGCAACAAGCTAATACATGGCTGCATACATACTGAAATGTCTTGATAGATATACTCTTATTATCCATTAGCCAAGCAAGAAAACTGACCTTTATGAACTTTAAGAGATCAAAAAAAACCAAAAACAGATTTCCTTTCCCCGTCCACCAATAGAAAGTTATTCTATTACACAGAAAATGAAGAAGGGGGGAAAAGTGGAAGGCTGGAGTTTTGATAGAATTGGTAGCATAACAAATTACAATGTTCATTCGAAGACCAGAAAGAATGGGAGAAAGGTTGGGTGAGAATACTTCCTATGATAACATTTCTGCAATAAGGTTATTCTCTAATTTCTCCGACATGAAAAGACAAAAACAAGCTTGCATTGTGGGCCTTCTTTCTATATAACTGTAGTGATTCAGATTTTATTACACCTGTTTTTGAGAATATTAGGCTTCTTCTCTACTAACAAATGCCTTCCAGAAGACTGTAGCATTGCAGGACAATTGCTTCACTTTTGTACTGTAAAATAGCCTATTCTGTTAAACTGGATAGCTTCAGCATTCTGACAGAAATCTCTGCCATGTTCTGAAAAAGGTCTTTCAATTGTAGCTATAATAACTGTCCAGCTCTGATGCATAGATTGGAAAAACAGACTCTTTTTTAAAAAAGAAAATCAATAATGGCTTTGAAAATGAGGAGATTAAGCATTTTCTCTTTCTTCTAAATACTTAAAATGAACAGGAAATAAAATATCAATTTAAAATTTGTGAATGCTTCCAATCCATGTAAATTTAATGTGGGCAAGCTTCTTGGGATTAACTCAGAAGGTTCTTCTTTAAAAAGTCAAAAGAATACAAGTACTTACTCTGAGGCAATCTAGAGACTACCCTTTGCCAACAGCATCTCCCTCATCCTCCAGGGAATTAATCACTACCTTAGCTAGCAGGGTAATGGGGGAGAATATACTTTATAGATACAATTGGAGATAAGGTCTAAAAGCCCTTCCTATGAGTCTTTGATAGAGCATCTGATAAATGCTCTATAAGTCCTTCATGTAGCATGGCCTTTGATCTCCACTTCTGACTTCATCCCTACAATATGTTTTCCACACAACTTCTTGTCCCGTGCCATGTTTATTTTTCCACCTATGGAAAGGGCTCTGAAGGTAGAAACATTTTTCCAACACTTCAGTATAGTACCTATTGACTGTTGTTACTTCCTATGAAGCCTGAAGGCTTCCTATGAGCCTAAAAACTGCCAACACCTGGATCTTTCATGGCAGGTCGACTTTGTTTTTACTCTGATTTTGTCTCCATACTTCTTAAAATCAGCCCTGTGCAACACACAGTTGTAACTAACTGTATGACACTGCATAAGGACAGTTTTAAGAAATAGGAGAGGCTTTTGGCAGCCAATTCAATGCTCATTCCAGCTCGCAAAGCTTCATAATCTTTGAATGATGAAGACTTTACTTTTAGTAAAAATTGTGTCTGCCAAGGAAGCTAGGTCGGATTTCCATGTCTGAGAGGGAGGTTTTAAAAGATTTCCTGTCCTTTGAATCAAATCTTATTGAACGCCTTACATTCTCTTCTGAGATGGCTCAAGAGAAGTTCATCTACCACAAATATTCTTCTTTTGGAAAGCCCAGAGTCCTATACGGAGCTGGAGTGGGCAGCCTGTGACTCCCCAAATGGTGCTGAATTGCACCTCTTATCATCCATAGCCAACATAGCCAATGAAATGATGGGAGCTGTAGTCCAGTGGCTTCTGGTGTGCCACACGTTTTCCACTGAAGATAGAGCTGCCAGTAGTCTCCCATCAATGTACTGTCCAATGTATTATCTCTGGGGATATGAATAAGAATATCAGCACTACAGGTGCTGCAGAGATCCAGCCCCTCCTCCTAAACCAGCCAGCCCATTCACACATCATCTGCACCAGCCACGGAAGCAGCCAGGCTAGTGCTTCTTTTCCACATTTCCCTAACAATTTTCCATATTTTTTTTCTTTATGACCAAAGAACAGAACAGCTGCACAGTATAACAGCTCCAGTTGTTATAACAGTGTAACAAGACTGATAATACAAAAACCCACAGCTCTGAAATAACCTTGTGTACTGCATGTGGAGTTTCACAGTAATTGTATAACACTCTGAGAAACACTTTAAATCATCAATCTCATCTGATTCTAGAAACTAAGTAAGGTGAGGACTGGTCACTATTCTGATGGGAAACCATCAGGGAATACTAGGGGTCCCAAGGAAAGGCTACAAAAGAAATCTGCATGAAATTATGAAGTGCTGCTGCCTATCAAGTGTTGTTTACACTGAGCTAAAAGGTCTGATTCAGTACCAGAAAGCTGCCTCTGTGCCTGTGCCCCTAATGTTACTATCGTATTGTCAATTTGATACTACATTATTTCCACATACGTTCTGATCTACTTGCACACTGGGTTTTTGAGAAAACTCCAGACAATTTTCCCTGTGTGCAAATGACAGGCAATTAACTCAGTACCATAGTACACATACCCATATTTTCCCCCCTTGGGATAAAAATGCAACAACTATTTCCTTAGGACAGAATGGGTGTTACATTTCATCCTAAGGAGGAAAAAAAAGAGAGAGAAATAGAAAAAAGGAAAAGGAAAAGAAGCTGCTACAGGCACTTCCTCTGAGATATTCTTACCTTGTTTGGCTTGTAAGCCTAAAGCTAATTACAGATTCTTTGTTTAAACCAACTGCTTCAATATTGATGACATCATCTACTTCTGGATCAGTGGCAATGAACAGGATGGGAAACTTCCAAATGCCACCTGCGCTGCGCTGTACCACCAATGTTGCTGGGTTCCTTCAAAATTAAGTTTAAAATATTCATTATAACAGAAGGCATAATGAAACACAAGTCAAATAAATCAATGTCCAAGGTGAGTACTCCTGTGGAACTGTAATGTATTACACAGCTGGCTCTAAACTGGATTGTTGATATTATTTTTTAGGCAGGATAGTATATTCATTCTTACTTTGCAAGGAGCTGTCAACTAAATATCACATTATTATTCCAACGTGCTTCTGCAAAGAAGGAAGATGCAAACTAATTGGTACAGCCTAATTCACCTTACACTTGGGCATGGGTAGCAGTCTTGATTTCTATAAACGCCTTGATTTATCAGACTGCTGAAAGGAGAAATGTTTACAATATGACAAGAAAGTGACAGCCCAGTAACTGAGATGTAATTTAGGTTCTAGTTTCCCAGGAAATGCAAAATTCTGTCATTAAGGTAAATGACAACTCCTACAGACTTTGCTGGCAATTGAACGCTATTCCTAAGGAAGGTATAGGCAGTCCCCATTTTGAGACCTGCTTTTGAGAAGACATGAATGTTGGAGCTTTTACATTTTTTTCTGCACATATGCAGCTCTGTGGTGCCCAGCGTGATGAAGATCTGATGAAAGCTTCCTTCTGCCTGTAAATTTTTTTGTGTTTTAATAAGGGTGGCTAGATAGCTCAGAGAGTTCAGTGTCTGGCTGCAGAGCCAGAGACTGAGAGATCAATTTACCACTGTGCTTCCTATGAATACAGCCAGCCCGTGTGGTATTGGGCAAGCTGCACATTCCCAGAAGAAGGGAATGGTGAGCCACTTCTGAGTACCATCTCCCTGAAAAACCCTCAAAAGGATAGCCATATGTCAGAAGTGACTAGACAGTGGACAATTATTAATAGTAATAAAGGTATCACCATCCTCGTTTTTGGATTGCACACAAAGACCCACATGGATTTTCTTCTACTGTTTTATAGGTTATTGTTGCTTTGTTGTTGTTTAGTCGTTAAGTCGTGTCCGACTCCTCATGACCCCATGGACCAGAGCACACCAGGCCCTCCTGTCTTCCACTGCCTCCAGGAAATGTAAAATTCTGTCATTAAGGTAAATGACAACTCCTACAGACTTTGCTGGCAATTGAACGCTATTCCTATTTCCTGTTGTCGCTACATGCCATTAAGTGTCACATATGTAAACCTCCTCACCACCTTGAAGTGTGCATCCAAGTGGTTTTTTTCAATAGGTAGAAAGGGTAATTCTTCACTGCATTTCCATGCCCCATTCCCCCCCCCAAACTATTGTTATCTATTTATAGTGTTTTTCAGATACAGTTAATCTTGACAATATTTGACACTGACAGTGGCTAACAAAGAATACTGACTAAATTCATCTAGTCATTTTCTGGCTAAAAGACCATCTGAATCTCTTTACTTACTACCATCCTGAAATGGTCTGATGCAAAATGGACAGAATCTCCCCAAGAAAAATAATAACATTTGGTTTTAAAAATAAGAAGAAAAGTCTGTTGTAAGTTCCTAACATAGATACTGGTGTAAAACTGTGAGCATATGAAACTCTAGCACAGGAGAGTTCCATGCACAGGGAAAGTTGTGGGTTTTTTGTTTGTTTTTGAATAACATGACATTTCCTTTCATTGCTAGGGATTTGTACCAGATATAGATTTCTGTATCACAAATAACTGCTGGATTAGGGAACTAAATGCAGAAATCACTAGTGCTTTCTATGACCCAAGATGGACACCTTTTTACCTGGGCACATGGGTCCAGAAAATTCTGGGGTGCTGCTGCACTGTTTGTTGTTATGTGCCATCAAGTTACATTTGACTTAGGGTGTTCCTAATGGGATTTTTAAGGTCTGTGAAATGTAAAGAGTGCTTTTACCAGCACCAGTGCTCAGTGAGTTTCCATGGCAAAGCATGGATTTAAAACCAACTCTCCTGAGTTCTAGTCCACATCTCTACTCACTACACCTTCACTAGTTCTCGTTGTCAGCCCATTATCATTAGGAAATAAGAATGCAGTGCATGTAATGTTTCAAAAATGTTTATGCAAACCTGTTTTCTTGCATCTGTGTCTATGATGTGTAAATACTTTGGCAATGTCAAGCAGAAGCAATGTTTCAAACAGAAGCAACAGTGTTCTACATGAGCTAAGGCTGTAAATCATAATGGAGTACCAATGCTTCTCTTTTAGAGACATTCCCCCTGCATGTGGCCAGTACAGACAAGGGAATGAACTGGAACTGGCAGGCATTCACTAAAATGTGTAAACCACGGAAGAGATGTTGAAGTGAATAAAATTTTGTCTGCGAAGAGCATGTAATTTTAATGTTTCATTAAGTATTCCTTTTCCTTTTTAAAAAAAAATTCTGACATAACTTATTTCTTCCTAAATAAAAGCTAGTTCTCAAAACAAGACATTAGTTCCTAAAACACACACACACAGAGAAAGAGAGAGAGAGAGAGAGAGAGAGAGAAACCAAAATCCCTGATAACAAAGAAAGCTGTATGGTGGATAAATACTCTAATGACATTTTGTTACTAAGCAGAAAAGGTACACAGCACATGGATTAAATTACTGCTAACAATTAATATTTTGTGGGCTGTTACTGGTCTAGCTTATTGGACAATCTTCTGTTTGTTACAATCAGTGCTTAGATGAGTGTCTTATTGGCTGGTAGAATTAGTTCAGTGCAGTTAAGTTAAGTGAGAGTATGTTGAGGCAGACGACGTGGAGCAGCAAAAAGAGAGATGAAATGAGTGTCGTCTTAGAAATGTTTGGCTTGGCATTATTGGGTTAGAGAAAATGCATTTTGGAAACATCTTTTACATTTTTATGTGTAAATGTTATAATTGCCTAAGGTTATTAGTTATATTCTTATTTTAACATTTGGCTGAAATATCTTTAAATAATGAATATTGGCACAATGACCAGCTTTTATATTATTGTATGGATTTCCCTACTGTTCTTGAAGTATAGTTCTTTAATCATAGAGTATATTTGTAATTCTAGTGTTGGTATTCTTAAGTTTTTCCTCCTTGGCTTATACAGCAAGGACAAGACCAGAAGGCACAGTCCCACGCTATCTTTCCATGCAATTGCAATCTGTGATAGCTATCCAAGAAACAGCAGAAGCCAGTTTTGCAGAAAGATTTACGGGTGTATATGAGTTAGGCCACTATTATCCACTCTTATCCAGGATTGTGACCAGGGCCAGTCTTGCCATTAGTCAAGATGAGACAGCTGCCTCAAGCTACAGACCAGAAAGATTGGTGAATTCACCACTCTTTCCTCCTCACTAGAGAGCTATCCATCATAGCTAGCTGGAGCTGGCTATTTCTTAACTTTCTGGGATGTTTCTGAGTCACACATATCTGAGGAAATTAGCTGTCCTGCATGAGGATGTCTCGCTGGCCAGCTCTGAAAGAAGGCTCTGTATGGGTCTCCTGAGTCCAGCAGCAACCACACATGCCAAGGGCACTCATGTGCATGGACCAGGCAAAGTGTTAAGAAACCCCTAACAATTGTCTAGTTTTCTAAAATGAACAAGAGATTATATGAAGAAAAGAAACATCCATGTTACACATTCTACTGGACCCAGAGTATAAATGCTTCAGCACAGTTCTTAATAAACATGTACCTTAATGGTTTGGAGGGTGCAAATACTATATTGAAGATCAGGGTCACGATTCCAGTTTTCAGATCCCGGTCTTTGTTCACCAAGTTTATAGCGACTGCAGACTTCAGCTGAGATTTCACTCTTTCTGATTCAAATTCAATGTCATACATAAATTCATCTGTTGTAGAGAAACCTGAAAGGATATCATTGTATATGTAGTCTAAATATATTTGAACTGAAATTTTAGAATTGATTTGATATAACAGCTGCACAATCAAACTTTTAAAACATCTTATTGAACAAGTGGCTAAGTACAAGTGAGACTTAAAAGGGTAATTCTATGCAAGTTATTCACAAGTACCATTGAGTCCAGTGAAACCTGTGTTCAAAATACCTTAATCTCATACATTTGAACAACAATAACAACAACACTTTAATTTCAGTTGAGGTCCCCAGAATTCTCAGCTACAGATATACAGTACTATAAGTTACTAGCATAAATGAGCTTGGCACTAATAACTTTATATAGTAAGTAAAGAACCTCTGTGATTTTAATACTTTTCACTGTTCAATAATATTTTGTTATTTTGTGTTTGTGAAGTATCCTAAATATAAGCGAAGAACAGTACAGTATGTGTGTGAAATAAACAAACAAATACAGATCTCATTTCATTTTTGTCTTACCATCTTCCTCTGTCAGTTTATGACATAATGTGGGCACACAAGGCAGCAAAAGAGCAACAATGAATCATGTATTAATGCTAGAATATAAACAATATCCATCATCATTACTAGTCAATATGCTTGCTCATTCATACATTGTTGCAATACTGTGAGGATTCAGGACTGAAAAGCTTAGATCACAAATAACATATAATTCTAAAAGATACCAAGGTATACATGAAGGCACTGTAGGTCATGGTTAAAAGTACTTGGAGTGGCACAAATATCTCCCCTTTGAGGAATCACTACTTTTTTATTTGGTATGAAGCTGCATTGTTTTTGTCCATGACAGTTTCCAGAAAGGCTTAATGTACAATTTAAGACAAAGATTTCCAACCATTGCAATGGCTGGCTGTGTCACTATGGCTCTACAGCTCTTAGAGAATTAAGAAATGGAAATGCCAAGTCATTTAAAAAAAAAAAAAGACTACACATTCTGTGCCTGAACTATTGGTTAAAACATTTAGGGTGTGCTGATTTAGACTGTATTTGGAATCACGGCCTTCTTTCAATTATATGTATACTATGTCTTTAAGGTATGAATACCATTTCCTGAGTTTGTCAAGCTGATCTGAGCTAATTGTGTGCTAAAGTTGTGCGCTCACAGTGGGACGCATCTGAAGGCTTGTAATTATTCCTCAGCACAAAATGTCACCACACAGAGACTCAAACATAAAAATGAACTTAGTGGAGGGAGAGAGAGAGTGACATCATTTGAAACCTACCACAGAGACAAAATTACTACTGCTGAGCAGATGTTACCTTCAGCCATCAAATGTTTATTGTATAGTTCACATAATGCAAATATGAAAGAGAGTGAATTGTGGCTGATAATTGTGCTGTATATTTTCTAAAAGAACTCATATTAGTTTTATCTCTTTCACATGTCTCAGAAACATCCCATCATTCACTAATAATGCATATGTGTTTATTTTTGTGGACGGTTTACAGTTTTATTAACTGCGTATTCTCCGTTAAGCACTCTCATAAAATTTCACAGCACCTGAGGACAAACAATATATTAAGTTAATGTCAATCTAAACTATATAAAACCATTTCTCTCTGCCAGTCTCATAGCTTGTTGCGCAAATCTAATTAGTGCTGTTCAAAACAGAAAAATATGATTAGATTTTCAATGAGAACTGCAAATTCTAAGGATGATCACATCAACATGTTATGGAAATTCCCCCATGAATATGTTAATATTCCAGTTTTAGTATATAGATAGCATTTTCACACATATGCTGCCTAAACGCAAACAACAACTGCTAGAAGTGGAAAATGAATAAACAAAAGGCCTATGTGTCATCACTACTACCACAACTATTTTCTAATGCTGTGTGATTTAAATCAAATGATGAAACCTCTGGACACTTTCACCAGGTTTGATTAAAATAGTAAAATTATTCAGAAAACATTGAAGATTGCATTGGCTTACATTTAAAAGCATGAAATATAAAACACCACACATATTACCAACACATTTCTCAGTGTTTATATCTACCAAGATTTAACAATGAGTTTAATGCAGGCTGCTGGATAGATGGCTCAGTTAGGTATCTGGCTACAGATCCAGAGGCTGAAAGTTCAATCCCCCACCTCATGCATCCCAGAACAGCCAGCTTGTATGGCCTTGGGCAGGCTGCACAGTCCCAGGATAACTCCGGAAGAAGAAAATGGTAAACTACTCTCTACTTCAGGGGTCAGGGAACTTTTTTACCTTTTACCCCGCCAAAAATTTATATACGCCGACATTACCCCCTTGATTCGAAAGGAAGGAAATCATACATTATTTGGATTAAAAATATTATTGAATCTACACAGGCTGTGTACCGAACTAGCAGGATGCACCAAATTTGATAAAGATGTGCACTATTTTTGCTGGAACGCATTGTACTCCAGCCATGGTGTTGTATAGGGAGTAGTATTTTTATTTATTTAATTTATATCCCGCCTATCTGATCGGGTCAGGACCACTCTAGGCGGCCTAGTAAGGTGTCCAATGTGCCTAGCAAGTTGCATTAAAGTTTTGCTAGCTTGCAGAGGATCATTAGTGGCTGCCAGAGTGGTGTTAGCAATGACATGCTTTCTAGAGACAACCAACACAGAATTGGGGGGGGGGCTTTCCCTACCACTTTAATCATTCTATGTGTGGTGTGCAAAAA